ACCAGGTGCCTATTTTTTAAGTGTGGTTGTTTTAGTGTCTCCCCTTAATTGGAAGAATGCACGCCTGGAGGCACAGGTTTTAAAAAGTAGGTGTTCCTCTCTCTCCATCTCTCCTCTCCCTCCCTCTCTTCTCTATCTCCTCCCCCACTCTCTCTCCCTCTTCCCTGCCCTGTCCCTCTCCATCTCTCCCCCTTCTCCCTCTCCCGTTCCCCACACCTCCCTTTCTTCCTCCCTCCTCTCTCCTTCTCTTTTCTCTCCTTTTCTTCTCTCTCCTGTTTCCTTTCTCTCCTCTCTTGGCTCTCTCCTGTCCACCACTCTCTCATTCTCTCATTCATCTCTGCTCTCTTATTCTCTCCTTCTCCTCTCTTCCTTTCTTCTCTCTCTCCCTCTCTTCCCCTCTCTCCCTCTTCTCTTCCCCCTCTCTCCCTATCATCTCTCTCTGCCTCCCTCCCTCTCTTCTCCCCCTCTCCAGCTGCCTCTCCCCTTCTTTTCTGTCCTCTCTCCTTCCCATCCTCTTCTCAATCTCTCTTCTCCCTCTCTCCTCTCTCATTCTCTCCTGTCTCTGCTCTCTCTCATTCTCTCTCCTATCTCTCTGCTCTTATCCTCTCCCTCACGCACGCACGCACACAGACAGACAGACACACACACACAGACACACAGACAGACACACACACACTCGGGCCAGTGGAGTGCAGCTGCGCGCAGGTGCCGCCCCGCCCGCCCCTCGGTACCTGTTCGTGGCGCGCGGCGCCGGGGTCGCGGGGCTCCTGAGCGTTCTCAGCGCGGCGGAGGTGCCCCGGGTGTCCTCCCTGTTTTCCTCCACCACAAGCCTGGAAGGCCAGGGAGAAAACTAAGTTGTGACACCTCGCCGCGAACCGCGCATCCAGGCGTCCCCGGACTCCAGGGATGGAGTTGGAAAACGCTTCAGAGCGGGAAGGAGGGGGGAAAAGGGGGACCCAGTGGAGAGCGCGGGAGCCCGGCGCATCCGACGGCGCCTGGCTGGTCCGCAGGGTCCCTCTCCACGGCGTGCGGCGCGTGTCCCCCCCCCACACACCCCGGCCACCCCTCAGCCCACCCCGCCATCAAGTACTCAGCGGGCAGCCGCGTTTCTGCCGTGGCCCAAAATGTGCGCGCCCAAGCCGGGCGGATCTGTCCCGCGGAGCTCCGGGGGCGCATGGCCGGGCGCGCGGGGCAGATTGCGGGGGACGGGGCGC